AACCGCATAGCAAAACCCTAGGAACCATCTTGGGTTCCCAAGCAACCGCATAGAAACACCTTAGCAACTGCTCCGGGTACCCTAGCAACTGCTTAGCAACACCTTAGCAACCACCCCGGGTACCCTAGCAACCGCATAGCAACACCTTAGCAACCACGCTGGGTAATCTAGCATCAGCATAGCAAAACCCTAGCTACCATCTTGGGTACCCTAGCAACCGCACAGCAACACCTTAGAAACTGACCCGGGTACCCTAGCAACCGCATAGCAACCACCAGAGTAGCCTAGCAATCGCAAAGCAACACTTTAGAAACCGCCGGGTTACCCTAGCAACCTTATAGCAACACACAAGCAACGATCCATGGTAACCTAGCAACCGCATAGCAAAATCCCGCGTACCCTAGCAACCGCATAGCAACATCCCAGCAACCTCCCCAGCACTTTAGCAACCGCATAGCAACACCCTAACAACTGCCATAGGAACCCTAGCAACCACATAGCAACACCCTAGCAACCATCCCAAGTACCCTAGCAACCGCATAGCAACACCATTGTAAACACCCCGAATAAATTAGCAACCGCATAGCAACACCTTTTCAACAGCTTAGCAACCGCTCCGGGTACCATAGCTATTGCATAGCAACAACTTAGCAACCACCCCGGGCAACCTAGCAACCCCATAGCAACCACCCCGGGTACTAGAGAAACCGCAAAGCAACACTTTATCAACCACCCTGAATACCTTAGCATCCGCATTGCAAAACCTTAACAACCAGCCCAGGTAACCTAGCAACCGCATACCAAAACCTTAGCAACCACCCTGGGTACCCTAGCAAGCGCATTGCAACATCATAGCAACCACCCCGAATACCTTAGCAACCGCATAGCTACAAAATAGCAACACCCTAGCAACCATCCCAGGCACCCTAGCAACCACAGAGCAACACCCTAGTAACTGCATAGCAACATCTTAGCAACCGCTCCGGGTACCATAGCAACCGCATAGCAACACAATAGCAACCCACTCTGGACCTTAGCAACCGTATAGCAACACCTTAGCAACCGCCCCGGGTACCTTAGCAACCACATAGCAACACCCTAGCAACTGCTCTAGGAACCCTAGCAACCATATAGCAACTAACCCGGGTACCTTAGCAACCGCAAAACAACAATCCCGAGCACCTTAGCAACCATATAGCAACACCTTAGCAACTGCCTCGGGTACCCTAGCAACCACATAGCAAAACCCTAGCAACTGCCAAAGGTACCCTAGCAACACCATAGAAACCACCCCGAATACCTTATCAACCGCATTGCAACACGTTGGCAATTGCCGCGGGTACCCTAGCAACCGCATAGCAACACCATAGCAACCACCCCTGGTACCCTAGCAACCACATAGCAACACCCTAGCAACCAACCCCCGTATGTCTTAGCAACCGCATAGCAAAACCTTATCAACCACACCGGGAACCGTAGCAACCGCATAGCAACACCCTAGCCACCACCCCGAATAACTTAGCAACCGCATAGCAACACCTTAGCAACCACCTGGGGAACCCTAGCAACCGCATATAGTAACACCTTAGCAACCATCCCTAGTACCCTAGCAACCGCATAGAAACACCCTAACAACCATAATAAAATAGCAACACCCTAGCAACCACCCCGAATAACTTAGCAACCGCATAGCAACACCTTAGCAACCACCCGGGGAACCCTAGCAACCGCATATAGTAACACCTTAGCAACCATCCCTAGTACCCTAGCAACCACATAGAAACACCCTAACAACCACCTAGCAACCACCCCGAATAACTTAGCAACTGCATAGCAAAACCTTATGAACCGCCCCGGGTACCCTAGCAACCACAAACAAATAGCAACAACCTAACAACCATCCCGGCTACCCTAGCAGCTGCATAGCAACACCCTAGCAACCTCAAAGCAACACCTTAGCAACTGACCAGGATACCCAAGCAACCACATAGCAACACCCTAGCAACCATCCCGGGAACCCTAGCAACCGCATAGGAGCACCCTAGCAACTGCTCTGGGTACCTAGCAACCGTATAGCAACACCCTATCAACCATCCCGGCAACCCTATCAACCACATAGCAGCACCCTAGCAACCACCCTAGGAACTTAGCAACCGCATAGCAACACCTTAGCAAGGGCCCCGGGTACCCTAGCAACCACATAGCAACACCCTATCAACTGCCCGAAGTACCCTAGCAACCATATAGCAACACCCTAGCAACTAACCTGGATACCCTAGCAACCGCCCTGGGAACCCTAGCAACCGCATAGCAACACCTTAGCTGCCAACCCGGGTACCCTAGCAACCACAGATCAAGACCTTAGCAACCACCCCGGGTGCCCAAGCAACCGGAAAGCAAAACCTTGGCAACCACCCTGAACACCACAGCAACCGCATAGCAACACCTTAGAGACTGCCCCGGGTACCCTAGCAACCGCAAAGCAACAACCCCGAGTAACTTAGCAACCGCAAAGCAACACCTTGGCAACCACCCTGAATACCTTAGCAAACGCATAGCAACACCTTGGAAACCTCCCCAGGTACCCTAGCAACCGCATAGCAACACCTTAGCAAACACAACAGGGCACCCTTGCATGCGCTTAGCAACCACCCCTGGTACCCTAGGAACCGCATATCAACCAGCCCGAGTACCTTAGCAACCGCATTGGGGACCCTAGCAACCGCATAGTAACACTCTAGCAACTGCTTAGAAACACCTTAGCAACCACTTCGGGTACCCTAGCAACCGAATAGCAACCAGCCCAAATACCTTAACAATCGCCCTGCGTACCCTAGCTACCACATAGCAACACCCAAGCAACTGCATAGCAACAACTTAGCAACTGCTCCTGGTACCCTAGCAACCGAATAGCAACACCCTAGCAACCACCCCGAGTACCATAGCAACTGAATAGCCAAACCTTAGCAACCGCCCTGGGTACCCTTACTATCGCATAGTAACACCTTAGCAACCGCAAGGGGTACCATAGTATCCACCTAACAACACCTTAGCAACAGCCCTGGATACCCTAGGAACCGCATAGCAACACCTTATCAACTGCTCCGGGTACCCTAGCAACCGCAAAGCAACAACCTAGCAACTCCCCAGCACCTTAGCAACCGCATAGCAACACCTTAGCAACCGTCCTGTGTACCCTAGCAACCGCATAGCAACATCAGCAAACTTCACGGGTACCCTAGCAACCGCATAGCAACACCCTAGCAACCAACCCCCGTATAACATAGCAACCGCATAGCAAAACCTTAGCAACCGTGCCAGGTACCCTAGCAACCACAAAGCAACACCCTATTAACTGCACTAGTTACCCTAGCAACCGCATAGCAACACCTTAGAAACCATCCGGGTACCGTAGCAACCACCTAACAACACCTTAGCAACCGCCCTGGGTACCCTAGGAACCGCATTGCAACACCTTAGCAACTGCTCCGGGTACCCTAGCAACCGCATAGCAACCTCCCCAGCACCTTAGCATCCGCATAGCAACACCTTAGCAACCGCTCCTGGTACCCTAGCAACCGCATAGCAACACCGTAGAAACCGTCCGGGTACCGTAGCAACCACCTAGCAACAACTTAGCAACCGCCCTGGGTACCCTAGGAACCGCATTGCAACACCTTAGCAACTGCTCCGGGTACCCTAGCAATCGCATAGCAACCTCCCCAGCACCTTAGCATCCGCATAGCAACACCTTAGCAACCGCTCCTGGCACCCTAGCAACCACATAGCAACACCCTAGCAACCACCCCGAGTATCATAGCAGCCGAACAGCCAAACCTTAGCAACCGCCCTGGGTACCCTAACTATCGCATAGTAACATCTTAGCAACTGCAAGGGGTACCGTAGCATCCTCCTAGCAATACCTTAGCAACCACCCTGGATACCCTAGGAACCGCATAGCAACACCTTAGCAACTGCTCCGGGTACCCTAGCACCCGCAAAGCAACACCCTAGTAACCTCCAAAGCACCTTAGCAACCGCATAGCAACACCTTTGCAACCGTCGCGGGTACCCTAGCAACCACAAAGCAACACCCTATTAACTGCACTAGTTACCCTAGCAACCGCATAGCAACAACTTAAGAAACCTTCAGGGTACCGTAGCAACCACTTAGCAACACCTTAGCAACTGCCCTGGGAACCCTAGGAACCACATTGCAACACCTTAGCAAATGCTCCGGGTACCCTAGCTACCGCATAGCAATCTCCCCAGCACCTTAGCATCCGCATAGCAATACCTTAGCAACCATCTCGGGTACCCTAGCAACCACACAGCAACGCCCTAGGTAAATTACCAACTGCATAGCAACACCTTAGCAACAACCCCGGATATCCCAGCAACTGCAGGGCAACACCTTAGCAACTAGGGTACCACCCCAGGTATCTTAGCAACAACATAGCAACACCTTAGCACCCGCCTCAGTACCAAAGGAACCGCATAGTAACACTTTAGCAACCACCCCGGGTAGCCTAGCAACCGCATAGCAACCACCCTGGGTAACTTAGCAACCGCATAGCGACACCTTAGCAACCGCCTGGGTACCTAAGCAACAGAATAGCAAAACACTAGCAACCATCTCGGGTACCCTAGTAACCGCATAGAAACACCTTAGCAACCTCAAACAACTCCTTAGCAACCGCCCTGGATACCCTAGCAACCACATAGTTACACCCTAGCAAACATCCCAGGTACCGTAGCAACCGCATAGCAACAACTTAGCAACCACCTGAGTACCTTAGCAACTGCATAGCAACACCATAGCAACCACCCCGGGTACCCTAGCAAACGCATAGCAACACTTTAGTAACCACCTTTGTTACCCTAGCAACCGCATAGCAACATCAGCAAACTTCACGGGTACCCGAGCAACCGCATAGCAACCACCTCTGGTACCCTAGCAACCGCATAGCAACACCCTAGCAACCAACCCCCGTATAACTTAGCAACCGCAAAGCAAAACCTTATCAACCGCACCGAGTACCCTAGCAACCACACAGCAACACCATAGCAACCACCCCGAATACATTATCAACCGGAGAGCAACACGTTGGCAATTGCCGCGGGTACCCTAGCAACCGCATAGCAACACCTTAGCAACCACCCCTGGTACCCTAGCAACTGCATAGCAACACCTTAGAAACCATCCCAGGCCGGAATAACTTAGCAACCGCATAGCAAAACCTTATCAACCACCAGGGGTACCCTAGCAACCGCATATAGTAAAACCTTAGCAACCATCCCTAGTACACTAGCAAGCGTATAGCAAAACCCTAGCAACCACATAGCAACCACCCCGAATAACTTAGCAACCACATAGCAAAACCTTATCAACCGCCCCGGGTACCCTAGCAACCACATAGCAACACCCTAGTAACCACAACCAAATAGCAACACCCTAGCAACCATCCTGGGTACCCTAGCAATCGCATAGCAACACCCTAGCAACCACCCCGAATAATTTAGCAATCGCACAGCAAAACCTTAGCAACCGCCCCGGGTACCCTAGCAACCACATAGCAAAACACTAGCAACCACCCTGTGTACACTAGCAACCACAAAGCAACACCAGAGCAACCACCCCGAATACCTTAGCAACCGCATAGCAACACCTTAGCAACCGCCCTGAGTACCCTAGCAACCATATAGCAACACCCTAACAACCATCCCGGCTACCCTAGCAGCTGCATAGCAACACAATAGCAACCTCAAAGCAGCACCTTAGCAACCGCCCCGGATACCCAAGCAACCGCATAGCAACACCCTAGCAACCAGCCCGGGAACCCTAGCATCCGCATAGCAGCAGCATAGCAACTGCTCTGGGTACCTAGCAACCGTATAGCAACACCCTTGCAACCATCCCGTGAAACCTAGCAACCGCATAGCAGCACCATAGCAACTGCTCTGGGTACCTAGCAACCGCATAGCAACACCTTAGCAAATGCCCCGGGTACCCAAGCAAATGCATAGCAACTACATAGCAACCAGACCGGGTACCCTAGCAACCACTTAGCAACATTAGCAACCTTCCCGGGTACCCTAGCAACCACATATCAATCACCCTGTGAACCATAGAAACCCCATAGCAACACCCTAGCAACCACCCTGAATACCTTAGCAACCGCATAGCAACACCCTGGCAATCGCCCCGGGTACCCTAGCAACAGCATAGCAATACCTTAGCAACCAACCCAGTACCTTAGCAACCGCATAGCAACACCCTATTAACTGCATAACAACACCTTAGGAACCACTCCGGTTACCCTAGCAATCGCATTGCAACACTTTAGCATCCACCCGGGGTACCCTAGCTACCGAATATCAACACTCTAGCAACTGCATAGCAACACCTTAGCAACCGCTCCGGGTACCCTAGCTATCGAATAGCAACACTTTAACAACCAACCCGGGTACCCTAGCAACCGCATAGCAACACGGTAACAACCTCAAAGCAACACCTTAGCAACTGCCCCGTATACCCTAGGAACCGCATAGCAGCACTCTAGCAACTGCTCTGGGAACCTAGCATCCGCATAGAAATACCCAGGCAACCATCCCGGGAACCCTAGCAACCGAATAGCAACACCCTAGTCACTGCTCTGGGTACCTAGCAACCGCATAGCAACACCTTAACAACCACCTGGGTACCCTAGCAAACACATAACAACAACTTAGCAACCACCCCGGGTAACCTAGCAACCGCATAGCAACACCTTAGCAACCTCCCTGGGTACCCTAGCAAGCGCATAGCAACACCATAGAAACCATCCCGAATACCTTAGCAACCTCATAGCTACCAAATAGCAACACCCTAGCAACCATCCCGGGTACCCTAGCAACCACATAGCAATACCCTAGTAACTGCATAGTAACACCTTAGCAACCGCTCCTGGAACCCTAGCAACAGCAAAGCAAAACCCTAGCAACCACCTCGAGTACCATAGCAACCGAATAGCCAAATCTTAGCAACCGCCCTGGGTACCCTAACTATCGCATAGTAACACCTTAGCAACCGCAAGGGGTACCGTAGCAACCACCTAGCAACACCTTAGCAACCACCCTGGATACCCTAGGAACCGCATAGCAACACCTTAGCAACAGCTCCGGGAACCCTAGCAACTGCAAAGCAACACCCTAGCAACCTCCCAAGCACCTTAACAATCACTTAGCAACACCTTAGCAACCGTCCTGGGTACCCTAGCAACCACAATGCAACACCCTATTAACTGCACTAGGTACCCTAGCAACCACATTGCAACACCTTTGCAACCGTCCCGGGTACCCTAGCAACCACATAGCAACACCCTAGCAACTGACCTAGGTACCCTAGCAACCGCATAGCAACACCTTAGCAACAACCCCGGGTGCCCCAGCAACTGCAGGGCAACACATTTGCAACTAGGGTACCACGCCGGGTACCCTTGCAACCACATAGCAACACCTTAGCACCCACCTCAGTACCCTAGCAACCGCATAGCAACCACCCCGGGTACCTTAGCAACCGCATAGCAACACCTTAGCAACCGCTCCGGGTACCCTAGCAATCGCATAGCAACACTTTAGCAACCGCCTGGATACCTAAGCAACAGAATAGCAAAACCATAGCAACCATCCTGGGTACCCTAGCAACCGCAAAGCAACACCTTAGCAACCTCAAACAACACCTTAGCAACCTCCCCGGATACCCTAGCAACCGCATAGTTACACCCTAGCAACCATCCCAGGTACCATAGCAACCGAATAGCAACACCTTAGCAACCACCTGGGTACCTTAGCAACTACATAGCAACACCATAGCAACCGTCCCGGGAACCCTAGCAACCACAAAGCAACACTCTAGCAACTGCATAGCAACACCTTAGCAACCACCCCAGTACCTTAGCAACCGCATAGCAAAACCTTAGCAACCGACCCCGGTACCCTAGCAACCACATAGCAACACCTTAGCAACTCCCCCGGGTACCC